TATTGTAGGACAATCAACTTAACCACTTACCAGATACAACTCAATTAATATGTTCAACAAAATATGTATACTATAAATGACATATTTTTTTAATATAATTTATGTACTAAGGTTCTACAACTCTACGAAAGTTAAGAAACCACTTCTATCCTATGGGTAAAATGACTAACAAAGTAGTACAAGATAATAAATGGTAACCAAGTCTTCAGGCTCACACTTCTTCTACGCCTCAAGCCCTTCATTAGCCCCTTTAAGCGTATTTCTTTTTTTTCAAAAAATCTCAAATAATTGCTAACTATAAAAAAAGTTATAAATAGAAACTAAGTTATCACACCTGTACTAAAATTAAGAAAAGTTAATTTTGTAACACGGAAGTTATCAAATTCATATTTTTATATTCATAGTTTGTAACACATAAGTTCATAAATAGTTTTATTTTTTAATATGTTAACATAAAAACATAAAACAAAAATCTTACTACATAAGGACAAATTTATAAAAATAACAAAAAAAAGCGATGTTGCTTGTCCAAAGTGAGAAACCAAAATGCTTTGGTTTGATTTTTGTTTTATTCAAAACTGAATCAAACCAAACTATATTTTTTTGTTATTTTATTTTGTTTATTACTTTAAGTATTCATTAATTTTTCATTTCAGTTAGATCGTCCTGTAAAATATCTCTTTAGAAATTCTTGAATAATTTCTGAAACATTCGGTTTTTATTCATGGTTGGTGTTATGTTACCTTTACGAAAATAAAAATAGAAAATTATTAAAAATATTAATTACAAATAAGGATGGTAGAGTTATCACAAATGTTGTATGCAAAGAAGTGTCTACAAATTTCCAATGTGATATGCATAGAAGTATCTGCAATTTATTTCTATTAAAACACTATAGTTTTAGATTTTATTTATTTATTAATTTATTAAGACATTATATTTTGAAAAAACAACCAAACCGTATCATCCTAATTATCATTTTTAACATAAAATAACAATGTAGTTAGTTTTGTTAACCGAAAAAATCAACATAGTTTTCATTTCCAAAGAAGACTATTTTCATGATTATATCAAATATACTTACTTACAAAACGTAAATTGGATATTAATTACGGTGTATATATTTATTTTAAAACAAAACTATAAACTTACTGGTAAAACTTTTACATTTGTAATTAATAATTTTTGCAAATATTTAATTAGACAATACGATTTCGAAATTATGAATAGTTCTTTTTTCCAACCGTGGTTTCCACGGGTTTAAACTTAGTACATTAATAAATCATTTATTTTGATTTCAAATTAATTTATCAACCAAGTAATAAATTAATAAATCATTCTTCTTTCTCTAATAGTCATCCTATTCCATTGCCAGATTTGAATGCAACCTAAAAGGACTGTACTACTATCAATTCAAGTTTATACCAATTATAGTTATGAGATTAGACATCTAATCCAACAAGAGGAATCTTTAAAAACCAACAAAAGTATCATAGAAACAATAACACCACCACCACCACCAACAACAACAACCAAATAACCCAAAAACTCAACACTAGGGTAGTGGGGACAAAATTGTCAAGACTTGAAAGGCTGCAATAAATTTAAATATCAATTAACTAAAATGATATGGACCATCTATACACACACAACCATCATGCCTCTATCATTATTGCAAATTAAAGATTAGCCATTTGAACTAAAAATAAGAATATTTTTATTTTTAAAAAAAGTTAACTTTTTCGGTTAAATTTGATATTTTCAATAAAAACAATTGACAGGGTCAACATACCTTTACAGGTTCAATAAAAGACATCCAAAAGTTTTTGTCACTTAGGCTAAGGGGTATGGTTACCACCAGCCTACTCAAAAAGTCACGCCACATCAGCGCCACATCACCTCCACTACAAACCCACTAATAACCCACTAACCCTTGGAAATGGTTATCACTCAACATCATTTTTATTTTTATTTTTTATATTTTTTTGACAATATTAGCTTAAATTAAAAAATAATTATTAAACAAAAATAAAAACATAAATATTAATTAAAAGAATTTTACATTAATTTAAAAACTAGAAAATTTAAAAGCTACAATACTTAAAAAAAACATAATCATTTAAAACCTAAATTACTTAAAAAAAACATATAAAAATATTACTTGTCGTCATCCTCGTCGTCATCTCCGTCGTTGTCAACGCCATCGTGTTGCCTTTGCCATATATGCTCAGTCAAATTATAACGTAAATTGTGATGTGTTTCACTATTTCGTATTTCCAAAACTCGTGTGAAGTATGTAGGGCTGCCGACTTGTATTACTGCAGGTGGGTTAAGAATATCTTCCGGATTATACATACAAATAGCCCCTGCCCTCTTCTTCAATTATCATGTTATGTAAAATAACACAAGCAGTCAACACCTTCGTCAATTTCGCCCTATCCCATGACCGTGCTGGATGTTTGATAGTGTGCCACTTTTGTTTGAAGACCCCAAACGCCCGTTCCACATCCTTCCTTGCCGATTCTTGTGCTAACTTGAACAATTTTCGTTTTTCATCGGCCGGAAATGAGTACGACTTGACAAACGTAGCGTACTCTGGATATATCTCATCACCAAGGTAATACCCATAATTATATTGATGTTCATTCACAACAAACGGCATGTTTGGGACAATTTGCCCACTCCCAATGTGTACAATCAATACTGCCAAGCATTCCTGGTAAGCCATGTTTAGCTTCATGTGCGGCATACAATTGTTCAATATCATTTCTAGTTGGATGTCGCAAATATATGTCACCATAAAGCTCTATGACATACTCACAAAAAAGATAAGCACATTCTCGTCCAGTCCTCTTAGACATTTTCAGATACTCATATGAAGCATCTGCTGCTATGCCGTATGCCAATTGTCTAAGGGCTGCTGTGCATTTTTGTAGGGTACTAAAACCACGTTTACCTCTTGCATCCCATCTTAATTGGAAAAACTCATAATTGTTTTCCAAATCTCTAGCAATACGTAAAAATAAATTTCTACTAATACGAAATCGGTCTTCAAATTTTGATAGGTCATACAAACTATCAGGGGCAAAGTAATCACGTACCAAAAGCTCGTGTGCCGCCATACGATCCCAATATATCGAAATTCTATGCCTATTCTCGGTATTTGAACTTTCACCTCTTTGTTGCACCCTATTGCGTGCCGCAGACAACAACTTGTGCAACACCAAGTCATCTTCATCAGAGCTTTCATCATCGGATGAAGAAGAAACAATCGAACCCGCAAAATTATTCATATCTATGTTTGAAAGGGTGTTTGAAAGTGTGAATGAAAATGTGTTTGTTTATATGTTGTGTATGTATTTATATATGTGTATTAAGTTTTGTTTGAATATATATATATATATATATATATATATATATATATATATATATATATATTTATCTTGGTCAAAAGAAAAGAAAGAAAAAGAAACGGTCAAAAAAATGGTCCACCAATCGCATTCGTTGTTTTCCTCCGTAGCCAGCTTCACGTCACAAGACATCTACCCCCATTGGGGCGGTGTTCACGCGTGGCTAGGGCTGCCTCGTAGGCAGCACGCGTAGACTTCCTGGCTTGATACCGGATAGCCTTATGGCTTCTAGGAGGTTCATTAATTTCTTAGCCACTGCCTGCGTAATTTTGAAGCTGCCGTAACTACATGTTGTGACATGACTGTGCTATGACTCACCGTTCTCAACTTTTCCCATAATTACATTTTCACACAGTTATAAAATGGATGAACAATATAGATACATGTTATCAACAAAACCACAATGACTTTTGCCAAAATTGAAAAGTACCTATCATTTTTAAAGAAGCATATAGCAGGCAAACATCATTACCATAAAAAACTCATGTTAACATATGGATTGACGTCAATAGCACTCAACAAATGTTTGAAACTAATTATTCTCTAATATTTTCAATACTCGAGATCAAACACTCCCTAAAGTGACCAAGTTATCTCTGGCATAATCAAACACAAAACTATCCCAACTAAGACCAAAGTTTATTTCAGGAATATGATCATTAAATAAATAACCAAAAGTGAATGATGAAATATAGAAGATATTTAGATGTCAGAGGTAATTTTACCAAACCAAAATCCTACAATTTTTGTTTTGAGGATGTTCGGATTTTGATTAATTATTATAACAGGAAATGGTTCTTGTTCTCCATTATTCACAAGATACCCAATCAAGGTTCATGAACTCTTGTTTCTACACATGAATCAACAAATAAATAACACGTTGATCAAGAATAAAAAAAATAAACAAAGGTTGCAATGATTAAGATGTATTGTGATCATTCAATATTCATAATTCTATACTATAGGTAATTAATGAACCCAATTAATTGATAAAGTATAAATTAATTTCCATTCGATAAATTAAAGCCAATGAATCAGTATCAAATATACCTGCACGGATTGTTATCCTAAAAAAATTGGGAAGTCCAATTCATTATCGAGAAGGCATCAAAATACTATAATATATAATAACTTTTATATATATATATATATATATATATATATATATATATATATATATATATATATATATATATATATATATATATATATATATATATATATATATATATAGAGCTAGGTTCAATTGTTTAAAGTATTTATTGTGTTATTGTATGCATAAATGTGGGCCAATCAAAAATTAAAATATAAATAAATAAATAAATAAATAAGAGTAATTAGGTAATTTTATAAACAATTTCCCCAAATACTTTCCTATAATTATGCTAGTTGATTTTAACCTAATTTATCCCCTTTTATAAACAACTTCCCCCAAATACATCGATGAAGGTGAGAAGGAAAGCACGAAACGGCTGCAAGGTCCAATGGATGTCGATCGATTGCAGGCTAAGGAAGCGTCTCCGGGGTCGACGAGACTGAAGCAACGAAGTGAAGCCTGTCATCGTTACCAACACCGAGGGGCAGAGGACGACGCCATCGGTTGTGGCGTACACGAAGACCGAAGATAGGTTGGTTGGACAGATTGCTAAGAGGCAGACCGTTGTGAATCCTGAAAACACCTTCTTCTCAGTGAAGAGATTTATCGGGAGGAAGATGTCGGAGGTGGACGAGGAGTCTAAGCAGATTTCGTATACGGTGGTGCGTGACGAGAACGGAAACGTTAAACTTAATTGTCCTGCTATTGGAAAACAGTTTGATGTAGAAGAAATTTCAGCACAGGTACACCAGTGCTCCCTCTACCTCTTAATTTGTAACAGTAAGATGTTTTTGCCCTAATTTGGCTTCTCTTGTTGCTTCGTTTTTGCCCTAATTTGGCTTCTCTTGTTGCTTCTCTATTATCAGGTATTGAGAAAGCTTGTGCACGATGCTTCAAAATTTCTGAATGATAAGGTTACAAAAGCTGTTATAACAGTTCCTGCTTATTTCAATGATTCCCAAAGAACATCAACAAAAGATGCAGTTCCTGCTTCTCCTTGTTGATTCAATGGATGATATTGGTGAGATTCCAATTCTATTGGAATGGAATCACGAATTCTAATTCTGTTGGAATTGAATTACGAATTCCAATTCTGTTGGAATCACAGAAGTTGATACTTGAAGATCAGACCATAAAAGTGAAAGTGATTCTAAGCAACATTATTCTTTTAGAATGTTTAGTCGTTGTTAGATTTTGATGTTTTCTTTCCCGTTTTGAAAGTTTTTTTTAGTTTTATTCTTTAACAATAAATGTAATTCTTAACAATTGTTACCCGTATTCTCTAAGAAATAATGTATTTTTTGTTTTTATTCTTCAATTGATTGTTCAAGAATTTGTTATTCTACAAGAAGTTTTTAAATTCATGATCAAGAAATAGGTTCAAGAATATTTTTATTATTTATGGTTCAAGAATATTTTTATTTTTGAATATACTCATAAACATATTCTGTCAGAATGTCCGAATTAAAATAATTATAATTCGTAAAATCGGATTTTTAAAATTAATAGAATCTATGATCCCTTAAAAAATACAATTTTCCTTTATTAAATCTATATTATTTGACTAAATTACCCTTCTAATTAATTAAGATGATATTTTTCAATTATATTTAATTCAATAATATATATTAATCACTTTCTTAAAATAAGTAAAATTGATTGGCCCATATTTATGCATACAATAACACAATAATTAGTTTCAATAGAATAACTTAGGCCTATATATATATATATATATATATATATATATATATATATATATATATATATATATATATAAAAGGTAGAAATGCTCATAGTGAGATAATGCATCAAAGAGATCGATTTTAACTCAATTAGTCCATACCATCCAATCGTTGTCATATCCGGTTCCTGCCAATCAACTTCCCTCAATCAACTTTCTATACCCACCAATGCCTTCACCGAACATAAAAAACTTAAAAATTAAACAATAATAAAAAATGATAACCACCTTTACCACATTTCACCTTTACATAAAAAAGTTTTTGTACAATCAAAATCAAATCCTCACAATAAAAAGTAGTTTATATGTTCAACAATCAATATATAGCTCTTAATTAGCAACAATTATGGATTTCTTTTTTCTTTTTTTTCTTTTTTTGTATTTTTTCCTAACTGAATCATGAAAAACATGTAAAATATAGAAAATAACAGAGAAAACATGATCTTGTAATGCATGTATCTTCTTCATATATTTGGTCATTTTCTTTCTAGAGGGGCACACAAGTACTTCAAGACTATATTGCAATAGATTATAATTCAAGAACTTTGAAATCCATTTCATACTTCGCAAATCAACACACTTTGTTAACAATCTTAATCAATTGAAGTAATAACATTTGTAACTTGTAAACTCTAAAGATTCAAAAACGAATATTGAAATTAACATCTGAAGTTTAAAATGAGAAAATATCTAGCAAGTATCAAATCTAGAGGAGTTGTGATTCCTACCTACGAGTAATACTATCGGTCTTTGAAACACTAACCAAGCCTTCATGGGAATTCTCTTCCCCATTCTCGTCTCGAACCATATGTATGATTCATTCATCTTGAAAATCAAGATTACTATATAAAAAATGAATTACAAGAGAATGGAGTGTAAATATTATAAAGAAAGATGGATATGGATTATGAAGCTTGGAAACGAGTGAGTGAGACCGATCTTTATTTAAATCTCTTGAATTTCCTTTGTTCAAAAACATAACTGTGGTTTAATACCCGAATGGAATGAAGCTATAGTCAACCCAATTCGAATATGAACATGATTTGCGTCCTGAAGTTTTGGGATTTCTTTGCTGGTTTGATGGGATGAGGGGTTTTCAAAAAGAAATTGAATAGAGATTGATATAGAAATCGGAGATAGTATCGACAACGAACAGATTGACAATTTGAAGGGTATTTGGGAATTTGACTTTGTAGAATTATGGGCTATGGAATTGACACGTTGCATAAAAGGTACTCTTTTATTAGGAAGTGGACAATAATCTAATAAATTATCATTCTCTTTCCTAATATAATTTCTAGCAATTTCTGGTTATAAGGGAAACTCAAAAAGGACCTTGCTTATAATTACAAGTTTATACCAATTTAGTTATGAACTTAGACACCTTAATTCAATAGTCTCTCACTTGGATAAGTTTATAACTACAATTGAAAGTATAACCTTGAACCAGACAACAAAATGTGATTTCCAAATCCATTTCTGAACTCTGATTTAAATCAAACGTTGGCCCTAAGATAAGTGATCAACTATTCCTTCGTTCTACAAGATATCGTATGAACAGGGTCATGGATTAAATGATCAACCTCATGTTCACTTGTTTGTTTCTCGGTCTCCGATTTTATGATCAAGTTCATACTACAAAATCGAACACACCAATTTAGTCTGGACTGGGCGCATGGTTTTCATAGATCAACTCACATCACCAAGGGGCCCAAAGATATCGCTTTTCCTGTTAAGCCAAAAGGAACGAATAAACTTTGACCATATAATCATACATTTTACTCACCAAATCATGCATGTAACTACACTTTATAACACCCAGTTACGAGATGTGTTGGAGTAAACCAATGCATAACTCATTTATAAAATATGAGTTGTATATCTCTGTTTGAAGAATATAATATACTATCGTCTCAGAATTACTTGTGATTGAGTCCATGAAGTAATCTCTAAGCGAGGGTTTATCTAATACTTAAAATCCATATTTTCAAGTACTCATGAATATTACAACAATTTGTATGCAATGTCCAATCCATATGGACAATCTACAAACGATTCATGTCGGCCTTAATTCACTACTTACTTCTAAAAGTACGAATGACTGTAGAGTATTTGAATAATATTTAAATTACTCAGGGAAATAAACATGCAAAATGAAACGCATTAATAAACTAAGTAACTATGGTATCATACTCATTGAAGACAAATAAATCTCTATTATTTAATCACAATAACAATTATGAAATTATTCATTGTATAATGTTTCGGATAATCAAATAATCACTTGAATTAAATAACATCAATCATGTTATGTTATTAACGTGCATATTATGCATCTCGATGGTCCTTCCTTTGTGAACAGATCGACTGGACATTACCTTAATGATGCTCATTTCACAATTCCAAAGTCTGGTCATTATCTAAGATGTAGTGTAATTTCTTCTTTACATGCATTGAACTTTTATGATGTTGAGTCTAACGCCCAGATTTTTCTACCAAGGTACACCCAAATTTATCAAAAAATCATTTAAAAGTTTTATAATAATCTTGGTGTACAGTGGCACTCTGGCATACAAAAAATTATCACAAGGATCGTGCTGGCAGCAAGCACAGGATCGAACCGGGTGTCACAATAAATCTACCTGCAAAATAAATTATCACAAAAACATAAGCCTCGCGGCTTAGTGAATAACAACTACTAAAACATAATCAAATAAATCATAAATCATGTAAATCATGTAAATCATGTATATTCCATATAATTGTCACATATGTAATCATTACATCAAATGATTCATATATTCAATAGTAATCTTTTCAAATACCTGTCCAATCAATAATCAGTATCTCACTCATTTTAAATCTCATACTCAATGACCAATATATCAAATGTTTTATATCTTCCAATCATAATATATCTATCGATCATATATTGATCTACTAATATAATCCAATCTCTCATCTATAATCTATTTCTCAACATTTTCTCAATCTCTCAATCAACAATTAATATTCTAATTAATAATCAATTATATAATAATCATCACAATTATCACAACACTGGATGTTAGAGTAGTGTTACTCACATGGTTAGTCGATAGACTTATTCCAGTCTCAGCTTTGCTTTTCCACTATCTATCAGCTCGTCACATGGTAACACCTATTTATCAAATAACAATTTCCTCAGAACCTATACAGACTTACTAATAATTATACCTTGTGACCTCTTATAACAATAATAACCAAATATCATAATATTATCATAATAGGCTAAACCCGTAAGCCCGTGGCTAAATCTCTCATATCGGGTATTTCTCGGGTAATAGGGTTTATAACCCTTATCAACCAAAGTCAATATCTAATCATGAGATTTTACACTAGTCTCACCAACGGGTTCATAATAGCTCCATATCACAAATACACGTAACCCTTACACGGGTCTAATATATCTAATAATAATCAGATATCATAAATATAATTTATCATGTAAAAGATACCTCACTGTATCCCGCAACTCAACTCTGTATCACCCGTACGCCAGCATAACATCTTCGGTATAGACTCCCGAGAATGGCTCCCAAGCAACATCTCTCCTTACGTACGCCAAAATACTCCAAAATGACTCAAAACACTCAACTATTGAATAATTACAATTCAATCCCTACAATTTTAATTAATTCCTTTAATCCCAAAACTAATTCTAATTAATTTATGATTAAATATTAATTAAATATTACAATTTGTAGTTAATATATTATTCTTATAGTATATTAATAAATTATTTATTTCAATTTATTAATCAAATTAATAAATCAACCTCTTTCTCCAAAATCATCCTTCCTAGTTTCTAGTATTGAGGGCAACCCAAAAGGACTGTTCTACCATCAATTCAAGTATATATCAATTATAGTTATGGGCTTAGACACCTAATCCAACAGTCTCCCACTTGGATAAGTCTAATAACTATAGTTGCCACTATATCCTTCTAAATCGATCAACAAATTGTAGCTCTCAAAGTCGCTGTCGGAACCTGACCTAGTCAGTTACGTGTCCTAAGATAAGTGATCATATAATCCTCCATTCTGCAAGATATCATGTGGACAAATGACATGGAACATAATCAATCTCATTGTCCAATACTTTGTTTCCCGATTTCTGATTTGTAATGACAAAGAACTACTAATCGAACACATCAATTTAGTCCTGGCTGGGCCCGGCACTATAAGTCAACACCAAATCATCGAGGGGTCTAAGATGTCG